CCCCAATGTCCCCCAACATCCCACATTGTCCCCTGCTGACCCCATTGTCCCCCAATGTCCCTTGCTGTCCCCTATTGTACCCCAATGTCCCCTGTTGTTCCCCAATGTCCCCTGCTGTCTCCCATGTCCCCCAATGTCCCCTACTGTCCCCCACTTTCCCATCTCATCCTCAGCCCCAGTCACCCCATCCATCCCCCAAGGGGGATGCATCCCCATCCCTACCCAGCACAGGGCAATGAGGGCGCCCCCCAAACGCCAGCAGTTTTCAGGGGGCAGTGGGACCCCTGGTCCCCGCACAGCACGGCTCCATCCCAAATTGCTCCGGCACAGAAAAACCCCCGCTGCCACCAAGGTTACATAGCCCTGCGCTGACAAGATGGATCACGTCCCGCCATCCATCACTTCCCTGCCTCCTATGGCATTTTGCCTTTTCCTCATTTTCTTCTCCCTTTCCTTGCTCGCTTCCTTTCCTCTTCTTCTTTATTTATTTTATTTTATATTTTTTTTTGGAACAGAAACCGTTTTCAGGTTGCAGCACCGAGAGCCGCTGCAAAAGTAGGCACTGGAATCCATCATTTCTATTTGGCTGGGCCTTGATAATAATAAGTAAGCTCGGGCCATAAATCCCACAACCTTGAGAATTAGAGAATAACAATAATAATAACACTAATCCTAATGAAACCCCACATAACTCCCCATGGAAAAGGGTGGGTTTTTTCCCAGAAATTGGGAACCTCCCATGGAAACACTGCGGATGAGGGGGTGGATTTGAGGGGAGGTCGCCCTCCCTGGTCTCCCCTCCATGGCTGCTCCTGTTGGGCATCCCGGGGACGGTGCCATCACTGGGGGAGTGGGATTTGCTGCCAGCTGTTTGTTGGGGACACATTGCGCTCTGCAACCTCTCTCCTTTTGACATTTCCCAAAGAGAATTCCCCAGATTTCATTTTCCTGTCGCACGGTGGCATTTTTCTTTTCAAGCCAACATTTCAAAACCTGGAACAAAAGCCCCGGCGATTGGGAGTCAAAATATTTTTCTCCGCCTTGGGTTTGCGCCAGGGCGCTCCTTGCTCCTGGTGCTGCCTTGTCCCAAAAATTCCCCCTTTCCTCCCCTTTTCCTCCCATTTTCCTCCCCTTTTCCTCCCCTTTCCTCCCCTTTTCCTCCCCCTTTCCTCCCCTTTTCTTCCCCTTTTCTTCTCCTTTTCCTCCCCCTTTCCTCCCCTTTTCTTCCCCCTTTCCTCCCCCTTTCCTCCCACTTTCCTCCCCTTTTCTTCTCCTTTTCCTCCCACTTTCCTCCCCTTTCCTCCCCTTTTCTTCCCCTTTTCTTCTCCTTTTCCTCCCCTTTTCTCCTCTTTTTCTCCCCTTTCCTCCCCTTCTTCTTCCCCTTTTCCTCCTCCTTTCCTCCCCTTTTCCTCCCCTTCTTCTTTCCTTTTCCTCCCCTCTCCCCACGGCTCATGGCCCTGGGCTGATGCTGGCCACACCACCAGATCCCCATGGGTCCCATCCACCTTGAGATATTCCCCGATCCCATTTGCAACCGAGACAAATAACTGATGGCACAAACAACTGAGAGGGAAATTCAATCTATTGTATTAATACAGGAATAATTTGATTAGTCTGAATCTGTCAGTGACTGATTGAACGCACTGGGTATTGGGACATCCCTGATGTGGCATGGGTGGCTTATTCCTCCCATCCTGTGCCTTTGCTGCAAGGGGTGAGCGGATGTTGAGGTCAAAATGAGCTTTTTTTGCACAGGAAAATGCTGATTTTGGGAATTCTGGAGTTTTCCTTCTGTCCGATGGCTGCTGTGGGAGCAACATCATTGCTGAGCCCATCGGGGAGCGGTGATGGAGGCACAGCCCCTGCCAGGAGGGCTTCACTCCACCACAGATTATTTGGCTGGAAGGGGGTCTCCAAAGGGTGAAACCGCATGGGGTTCACGGTGTCACATTGTCCCCATGTCCCCTTAGGATCACCATGAGCCCAAGCACCGTCTGCTGCCACCCGCGATGGCTGGACTCGCTCTTCGGTCTCTGCTGCTCCTCCCGGCCACTGGAGCCATTCAAAACCTAACAAATGAGCTAAATTAAATAGTGCCTTTGCTCGTATTAAATGCAGTTCCCCACAGCAGGCCAGGGAGATGCCTGAGCCCCGTGATGGATGTGCCTGGGCTGCAGCGACAGAGCCTTTTGGGGCTGTTTTGGGGAGGATGCAGGGGGGATGCACATCCCCGCTGAGCGGCCGTTTTGGGGCTGAGCATCCCCTTGTGCCTGGCTTGAAGCCCTGGGTTGGTCCATGGGGTACCCCAGGAGACCCTTGAAGGGATGCACTGGGGCTGGCAGCCTTGGGGTGTCCCCCCCAGTGCCTCTGCTCCCCAGCACAGAGAGATGTGGCCTTGGGGCAGAGGCTTTGCCATAGATTTTGGGGTGTCAAGGTGTTTGCACCATTGGGACTGTGGCTCTGTTCATCCCCACAGGCCCCACAGCCCATGGGATACTCAGCAAAGCCGCGAGCACTCCCCATTAATAATTTACACTTCCTAACGAGTTGTCAGCCGGTCGGGGGGTTACAATGACAAGTGAACCCTGGGGCTGGAGGCATCGCCTCGCTCGGCTGCGCCCCGGCGTCCCCCCGGCGTCACCGCGCTCCACCGAGCCGGGCCGGGAGCACGCGTGGCCGTCCCCTGCCGGGACCCGGGCTTAATTAATCTTGTGTCGAGCAGAGAAGTGGTAACGGTCCCCGAGGAAGCTGGGGAGATGATTGTGCTGGAGTGAGACAAAAGAGAACAGTTAGACTGTGACAGCTGATATTAAAATGACTACAACTCACTTCATCCCCCAGTCAATGCGCTATATTCCTTATAAATAATGGGTTACTCCAGGTTAACCGTCTGATGCTGCATTCCAATTGTTGATATTTAATTAGCTCTCAAATGAAAGCGTCCTTTTATTGCCCTGTCGTCGGAGCTGCTTTATTTCTAATTGATTGAGATTAAAGTGTCTCCTCGCTGGCCCGGCGCGGGGCTGGGGACAGGTTTGGTGGCATTGAGCGACAGCGGGAGGTGATGGAGGAGCAGAGCCAGCAAAGGGCTGTGTCCCTGGGGTGCTGGGGTCTGCCTGGGGTCCTGGTCCCTGGGGAGGGCTGGGAGATGCTTCCCCTTCCCCACCACCTCCTGGAGAGGTTCCTGATACTGGATCCTGCCTTGCTGCAATTAATAGCAAATTAATGAGAGCCCCTTTTGCCTATGGGCATAAATGCATCCTGGGCAGAGGCAGGCAGGGCTTAGGGCCTCACCATCTCCTTGGTACCTCACCTTCATTGAAAATCACCCCAAAAAGCTCATCCCGAGCAGGGGAGAAGCCCCAGAGCTGAGATTTCCCGTGCCAGGACAGGAGCCGCTTCCCATGTCTCAATAACGTGAAATGATGACCCATCGGATCGACCCGAGATGAAATTTAACAGCCCGAGGTGGGCATCGGGAGCCGCTAAAACAAAACCCATCTTGCTCCGGGCTTAAACGGCTCTTTAAAGAGCTAATGCATAATTTAACCAGAGCGATTTAAAGCAGGCGTCCTCCTGGGGACGGCGGGAGGGCTCTTTCCTCAATGGTTGTCACCCCCAGAGGGTCTCACTCGTCATTCTGCTCCTGCACACCCTTGCCACAACCACTGCATACTGAGTATAACTTTATAAGAATACTACTATTAATTATAGTATTATTATTATTATTTTACTAAACCTGTTTTGATTTCAGTTTGTACAGATTTCCCCGTGTCTGGATTCGCATTCGTGCCGCCGTGTTTTGGCTCTTTTTGGGGACAGGAGGGACACATGGGGAAAGGATCCCGGCCTCTGGCGCGAGGACCACGGGGCGCAGGCGAAATTTCGCGGTGCCTCTTTCGTGTCAGAGCATCGCCAAAGCGCTGGGGAGAGTTAATAATAGAATAGCAGCGACTGAAACAATGAATAATGGAGAAGGGTAATAGAAATAATAAATAATATATTTACAGACTTGCAGGCTCCTCAGGCTGCGGGCACGGTTGGTGCAACGCTGTGGCTTGGCAAAGCCAAAATTGGGCAGAGGGAGCCACCCCTGCGCTGTACCCCATGAATGGTGCGGGGGTGTGATGGGGCAGCGGGTCCCCAGCGCCACCAATTGCTGCTCCTGAATGGGGCTGGCAGGAGAAAACCACCTCTA